GGGGGTACCGCCGGCCCAAGTGGGGTCGCCGTTTTTGCACCCCAGGGGTTCGGCTTTTTAGCCTTTGTTTAGTCCGTCCTCTGGCCCGTGACAGAGGGGCCGAGCTGTTGGACAGCGGCAAGGGCCGCCCCATTTCCTTTGCTGCCGGGGCGCCAGCTGGCAAAAGATGCCCTTGGCCAAATGGTAGAGGTGTTAGCCAGCCTTTGTGATTCAGAAACCTTTCAAGGATTCTGGTTGCACACTTTTTACAAAGAGGCACTGGCGCAGATATTTGAAAAGAAGTTACAGGTTGACAGGAGTTGAAGTGGGCAATAGAAAGCAAGTTGGAAGCAGTTTGAAAGGAGGCCTTCGCTGCTTTGAAATTGGTGTAAAGGGGAGAAGGAAACATGACCTTATTTCAGAACGAATTATCCTTCAATAATCAAGGGATATTTACTTGTCCTTGCTGATTGATTTTTTATCTTAGTTTTCTCTGTAAAAATGCCACTAGGACACAGGTTGACAGGCTGAGGGAAATTAATAACGATAGGATCTTTTATTTTCGGCTCTTAGTATTATCGAAGCCATTATCTGGACAGCTCTTGGTGACTGTGAGAGTAATTGGTCAGGATGTAATGTGTAATAGACAGGTGAATATTTAACGCCTTTCTCATTTAACTTCACACCTACTTTGGCAAAATATCCAGTAAACGGGACACTGGAATCTGAACTCTTTTCCCATCCTAGGAAATCTTTCAAAGTGTAGGACATTTTGATCAATTCTGCTGCTTTGTTTTCTGCAGTGCTTGAAGATTAAAAATCTTTTGCTCTAGTACCCTACTTGATGAATAACCCTTTATATAAATACACTAAGTCAACTAAAAATCTACACTCTCTATGCCAGTATGGCCTTTCTCCTCCAGCCTCCTATAGATCACAGCCACATGACTTTGGTTCCTCTGCAGTGGCTGTAACAGAAGTTTAGTCCTTTCATCCACAAAATAAAGCTAGCAATTTGATGTATTAATTTGTGGTAATTTTGAAGAAAAATTTCTAACTACTATCATTTTATGCTATTTTGGTATGACAGTAATCTAATTCAATTTTATGTATGTGATAGTTGAGATAAATTTTATAACTGAGATGCTATAGTCCTAAAGCTAAACATGTAGTCCCACCTCCCTTTTTAAAATTGTGCTTTTATCTTTTGATAAGCTTGGATCCTAAACATTATATTTAGATTATATATTTCATCCTTTCAAGATCTGTCATCTGTAGAGAAAATAGTGTCAGGTGGAACCTTATGATTGAGTGTAGCAATCTGGGATTGTTTATAAAGCCTCCTCCAGAAGTTAGTCATCAGCTTCCACAGGTGCTTCAGTGCGCTGAGTGTGAAGCAGTACACCTGGTGTGTGTACTTGCCCAGACTGAATGTCAAGAACTTGAACCAGGGGTTGTTTGGGGAAAATACTGATCTTACCAGGAACTTTTAAGCCATCCTCATGCTTTGGCAGTGTGAAACTGAGTCAGATACAGTGCCCCTCACACAAGGATAACCATACACTTGAATCATAACATCATAAATCTTTAGAATAATAAAAGACCTTATATTAGATACAGAGGTTTGGGCTGTATATTAAAACTCCCAACGGTGGGTATGAGTTTGCCTTAGGTAAGGTTGAGGGAATGCTGAGATACTCTGTTGTCTCCTGCTTTACAAACTACAGAAAGGAAAGGAAAGAATTAACACTACAGAAAGTGAAGCTTGGCCTAACTACATGCTAACATTGAGTGCTTATTATATGCCAGGTGCTGTTCTACTAAATGTTTTACATCTTTTAACTCATCTTGTTTTTATAACCAGTCTGTGGGGTAGATACAATTACCGTATTTCATTCTCCCCCCTCCCTCCCCCACCAGTTTTAACATCTCTGTAATCAAGATGAGTTTTTAAAACTTTGATTGCATGTCAAAGTTTAATTGATAACATTTTCCCTACTGTTACATAAAATAATGGTGTGTTTTATAATCAGTGGTCTTAGATTCAGCGAATTAAAGTATTATTTACATTTTAGAGATGAGGCATGAGAGGTTAAGTTGCCTAAGGATACACAATTAGTCTGACTAAGCTAGAATTTAAAACCCAGTTAGTCGGCCTCATGCCATTATGTTATAGTCTGCCTTTCTGAGAGCTTCTTAGATAATGGTGATGCATGGAAGGTGGAGTGAGAAGGTAGTCTCCAGCAGGACATGGGTTAAAACCATTCAGAAACACTAATTCAAACTCACAGTGCCAGCCAAGAGTTTTCCTATTCTTTTTCCAGTAAAGTGATTTTATAAAAGTTGCATGTGTAAAGCTTCAAAATTTGACCAGCTTACTTTTTATTAGCTATGCTTATCTTTCTTCCTTCTTCCTAAACTCCAGGCTCACAGTCTAAATATGCTTTGCCCTTTAACACGTCTCACAGATATCTGATTTTCTATGCCTACAGTGTCTTCTCTCTACTGGAAAGAAAGTGTAGATTTTTCCTTCAAGTCCTGGTTCAGATGCCACCAGCATAGAAGTAGGAATTAGGAATTCATTGTTTCTACAGCAGTTAGTACATACTCATCCTGTTGTATTATAATAATATGTACCGACTCCCCCATACAAACTGTGAGCTTCCAAGGGTATTTTATTCATCTATAAATCATGAGAGCTTAACACACAGTAGGAACTCCGAAAACAATTATTGGATATTCAAGGTCTTTATTTCCTTCTCTTTCCTTCTTCCATTTGGTACTTTTGGTTTTAATTGAATTTCATGTTCTAATAGCATGCTCTGATCTCAACTTTAGAAAGTAGTGTGTTGTGGGGTTTTTTGCATTATTAATATTATTTTCACATAATATAATAGAATCCCATTTAAAAAATAGTTACTCTTTTAACCACATTTTTTCTAAGTTTTAACATTGCCTAATCACAAAATGTCCATTAATATTGTGATTACAGATTAAAAACATCATTTCTGTGAAAAGAAGCCAGTATCTATAGCCTTAAGGGCAGTTCCAATCTGGATAAATTTAAATATTTTAATTGATAAAGTTAACTTGCTTCAGATGCTTTAATTTTATTGAAATCTAATTCCTTTCTATCACGAGGCATATTAAATGCAAATGTTAAGTATTATTGAATGTTTTGAAGAAAAATGAATTCAGAGCTTCAGAAATTAAAGAAAAGCAGCTCTAGGTTTCTCAGCCTTTTTTTTTCTTTGCTGGAAAGATCCTGATCTACATGACACCACTTGTAATGAGACATTCCTAGCTTAGCTAAAGAAAAATGTAAATGGTGATTTTTCAGCACAGAGGAAAATATAACTTGCTGAATTTTAGGCAAGTAAAATGTTTTGCAGATCATATTGTAAACTTTATGATCTGGTATTTTCATGGATGGTAGTAAGAAACACACAACTTTAGTAGGGTGATTCAGTCAAAAGGTGATGTCAGTCAAAAGGTGTACCAAAGCTTATTTCTTTTTTCACTTGTTTGCTTTTAGTATCTTTCTGTTAGAGAAAAATCATGCATAAAAACGTGAGACTTTAGATTGACAAACCAGAATGCTTATGCTTAAGACAACAGAATGAAG